TAGTCATTGTCACAGCTCTTGCTACTGATTCTTGTACATCAGTTGGTAATAATTTAATATCACCTAACACTCGTATGCACACACCATGATTATCAATTAGATCACTATTATAGTATCAAAAAAATTCTTTCTTCCTTATGCTGTGAATAATTTGAGTTGTTTTTGACAAATATTTTTTGAGTTATGACCATTTTAAGAAATTGGCCATTTTCTGGAAAATGCCCAAGGCTATAGCCCATGGTTTTTTCTTTTAAAATGGCTCTAAAATTACCCTAAATTTTTATTACATTTTCTGATACATATTGATGTACTTATGTTGATTATAAATTTTGAGCTGATTCCGACAAATATTTTTTGAGTTATGGCGATTTTTAAAAATTGGCCAATTTCTAAAAGAAACCAAGGCTATAGCCCATGGTTTTTTCTAAAAAATTGGCTCCAAAATCACCAAAAATTTTATTAAATTTTCTGGTACATGTTGATGAACTTATGCTGTTAAAAAGTTTGAGCTGTTTACGCCAAATATTTTTTGAGTTATGGTCATTTTTTAAAATTGGCCAATTTCTGGAAAATGCTCAAGACTATAGTTTTCTAAAAAATGGCTCCAAAATTACCCCAAATTTTCATTACATTTTTTGATACATATTGATGTACTTATGCTGTTTAGAAAGTTTGAGCTGATTTCGACAAATATTTTTTGAGTTATGGCCATTTTTAAAAATCAGCCAATTTTTAAAAAGTACCCAAGGTTATTTTACCCCATGGTTTTTTCTATAAAAGGGCTCCAAAATCATCCCAAATTTTAATTACATTTTCTGATACATATTGATGCACTTATGCTGTGTAGAAAGTTTGAGTTGATTCGGAGAAATATTTTTTTTAGTTATGGCCATTTAAAAAAATGGCCAATTTCTGGAAAAATTAATGTCCAAGGCTATAGCCCATGGTTTTTTCTCAAAAATGGCTCCAAAATCACCCCAAATTTTTATTACATTTTCTAATACATATTGATGTACTTATGCTGTTTAGAAAGTTTGAGCTGATTCCGACAAATATTTTTTGAGTTATGGCCATTAAAAAAATAGGCCAATTTTAAAAAAGTACCCAAGGCTATAGCCCATGGTTTTTTCTGAAAAATGGCTCAAAAATCCCTCCAAATTTTTATTTTATTTTCTGATACATATTGATGTACTTAAGTTGTTTAGAAAGCTTTAACTGTTTCTGACATATATTTTTCGAGTTATATCATTCAAAAAAATTTGCCAATTTCATAGAGACTTTGACCCAATTTTTGAACAACAGTAATATTATTAAATTATTGTCTCCTAGTTATAATACTATATCACTTACAATTACTCATAAGTCCAGAGCCTTCAGCCTGAACTTCAGCAGCCTAGACTGAAAATAACATAATATCAACTCAGTATTACATTAATATTATATAAAAGGATCAGTAATTCTTAAATAAACTTACAATGGAGCCTTTAGTTCATTATCCATGGACATAGAGCTTCCTACATTTCCTTAAATGTATTTTTAATTTAGGCCACATTTACACGACTACATTTTTAACAAAAACGGGAATATTTTTGGTTGGGTTTACACTGATATCAAATTCAAACAAAATAAAAACAAATACTAAAAGGAATAATTCTATAAACAAATGATAAATTCTAATGACAATACAGCTGCTGGATTAGTGTAAACACCTGAAACAGGAATAACAAAATGATGTGTAAACATGACCTTATTTTAAAAAAATTATTTTTAAAAACAGCATAGTCATAGGCTGCTGCAGGCCCAGGCATGCCCTGGCTATGCCTGGGTAGCTAGCTTTCAATCAAAACCACACCCAAAAGGTGTGTTTTGTTATTATTAGGCCTGGAGTGAGATTATCACTATAATTCATTTTTTATAACCACAACTGTTTATACACAGTATCAGTTCATCTTTACAGTTATTTTTGTGTGGTAACTGGCTTCAAGTGGCTAGTATTATTAATGTTCAGTTATTTAATTAATTGACCACACCCCCAATTGTTATGAATAATTAATGAGCCTGGGTAAATTCAAAATTCTGCAGCCG